TATATGTGTGTGTCTGTGTCTGTGTGCATGTCTGTGTATCTGTGTGTGTCTGTGCATCTCTGTGTGTGCATGCATGTGTATCTGCATATGTGTTTGTGTGTCTGTATGTATGTGTGTGTCTGCATCTGTCTGTGTGTGTGCTCTGTGTGTATGCATGTGTGTTTGTGTGCATCTGTGTGTATGCGTGTATGCGTGTGTGTCTGTGTATGTGTGTGTCTGTGTGTGTCTGCATATGTGTCTGTGTGTTTGTGTGTGTCTGCATATGTGTCCGTGTGTTTGTGTGTATGCATGTGTATTTGTGTGTATGCATGTATGCATGTGTCTGCATATGTGTGTGTCTGTGTGTGTCTACATATGCGTCTGTGTGTGCATGTGCATGTGTGTGTCTGTGTATCTGTGTGTGCACACACGTGTGCGTGTATCTGTATGTGTGCGTGCGTGTCTGTGTGTGTGTGTGTGTATGTGTGAAGTGGGTGAGCTGCTGCGTGGGGAGCGGGGCATGAACCGGCCCTGATTCTCTCTCTGCAAGCTCTCAGGGCATGTGGGGCCCAAGGGCTCTCTCCTGCGCATTCTCCCCTTCTCTTTCTGCTTCCTGTTTACCCCAAAACTATGCTGGACCCAGAGATTTTCTGGGCTAAATGGGACTCCGTTTCCACACCTGCTGGCTTTGGATCTAGAAATGTCTGGAGAAGAAAGTTCTGTTTGGGGGGAGGGGTTGTTGGGTGCTCAAGGTTTACTCATAGCCCTGTGCTCCGGAATCACTTCTAGGAGCTCAAAGGATCAAAGGTCGCTTTCCTGGACCACGTGGCCATCAGGGGACCCCTGGGTTCATGTGGTAAACCCTTGATAACTACTGGGGCTTGAAAAAAAAGATGTGCCGATGTACAGCTGATGGAAGAACTAAGACTGTTCTCTCGGGGTTTCTGTGGGCGCACTTGTGGTCAGAGTATAATGACAACATCTCCATAGATAAATCATGTACAACTGGGGGCGGAGTGATAGCACAGCGGGGAGGGCGTTTGCCTTGCATGCGGCCGACCTGGGTTCGATCCCCATCATCCCATATGGTCCCCCGAGCACTGCCAGGAGTAATTCCTGAGTGCAGAACCAGGAATAACCCCTGAGCATCACGGGGTGTGATTTTCCCCCCCCCCAAAAAAATCATGTACAACTGTGTGCCCAGCGCTGCCGTTGTGGGGACAGTGGCCCTGAATGATCCCACGTAATCCTGAAAGTAGTGCAGCCACTTGAGAAAGAACCTGGGCTGGGGTCGGGGTCAGAGGGACAGAACAGGACCTGCCATGCAACTGTCAGGTCCTGGAACCGATTCTAGGCATGGAGGGAAAGGAAGGAAGGAAGGAAAGAGGAAGGAAGGGAGGGAAGGAGAGAGGGAAGAAGAAGGAGAGGGAGAGAGGGAGAACAGAAAGAAGGAAGGAAGGGAGGGAGGGAGGGAGGGAGGAAGGAAGGAAGGAAGGAAGGAAGGAAGGAAGGAAGGAAGGAACCAGGGGAGGGAGGTATGTATTTGCACACGCAGCTGCATACTTGGAAAGAAAACCACAATTCCCCCAAAACAGAGGTGCTTGAGCTAAACCCACCGAAACTTCCCCCTCACCTAACAGCACTTTTCACCTCCTCGCACTGGCTGGCCACGATGGAATTTTCTAGATAGCTCCTATGATATCATATCACCCCCTCCCCAAAGATGAGCTAATCAGCCCCAGCCCTCTTCCCTTCCCCACGGGCACATTACCTAAGCCCGAAACTATTCCCGCTCCCCTCCTCTCGCCTCGCATTCCAGAGCTCCCTCCTCGAGGGTCTCTGCTGCCAAACGGGCTCCCCGGCAGAGGCAGATCCTCCACGGAGCCACGCAGAGGCTGAACACGAACCCATTTGAATTTCTGCTCTGTAACAACCCAGATGATGTGAAAACACACTCCTGCAGCCCACACAGAGATGTCACGCACGTGCACGCTCTCCCATGAAGACGCCGGGTGGTTTCTGGGAAAATCCCTAAGAACACGCGAGGCACCCGGGACTCTTGGCAGCAGATATGGAATTGGGGGGTCTGATGCCCACCGGTCATTTTCCACCCTTCTCCCATCCTCTGCATTGAAAAACAAGCCATGGAGGAGACAGCTGCTCTCCCCAGAGTCAGTATCTGAGTTCTGAAGGACTCCAGTTATTAATTTCTCGTTGTTGTTTTCTTTTTCTTTTTTTTTTTTTTGTCTTTGGAAGGTCTGGGGCTCCTAAGTGGCCCCGTGAGAATGAATGCCACAGGAACAGCCTTGTGAGTTGGCTTCTGCCTCCCAGTACAGGTTGATCAAACGCTCTGCACACCGTTTGGTTAGCCTCCTGGTTCTCGGGGTGAGAACGAAGGGACATATACCTGGCTTTGGGGGACCCCCTGCTCTGAGCCTCCTGGCTCCGTAAACTCCTGTCCCGGGAGACAGGCTTGTGGCGACAGCAAGCCCAGGACGGGGTGCAGGATGGACAGCCTGTGGCTCCCTGAGTCACAGGGAACATATCCTTCACGCAGGGTCCACGCCGGCCAGCTCTGTGGTCTGAGTGACTCAGAGCAACTCTCTGCTTCTGATGCTCACTGGCCCCTGCCTTCCCTGTCTGGATCGCAGCCTTCTTGTGGTGCCAAGTGCAGCTGGAGACTAGGGAACTTTCCATGTTTTGTGCCCTTTGTGGGATCCCGGGGGAAAAGGCTTTCCCTTCCTTGGCTCCTCTGCCTGCTGGCTTGTCCTCTTTGTTTTCTTCTTCTTTTTTTTTTTTTTCAGGTTTGGACCACGCCCTGCTGTACTCAGGGCTTTGTCCTGGCTCTGGGTACCGGATCACTCCTGGCAGTGCTTTGGGGGGGGGGGGGGGTCCTATGTGGTCCTGGGCATCAGAGCTGGTTAGCTGTGCAAAGTCAAGTGCCTTCCCAATTGTACCATCCCTCTGGCCCTGCAGAAGTTTTATGGGCATTCGGAAAGAAATCCACTTACGGGCGCTAGTCATTTGGGAGCACGGTAATAAGAGTCGCGAGGACTTAAGAAGGCTGCTCTGGGCCAGGTCTACTTGCTGCTTTAAGGAGCATGCTCATTTAAGAAACTGAGTCACAGAGAGCCCAGGGCACATGAGCCCTGGAGGCTGTCTCTGTCAGTGCTCCGAGCATGCCCCCAGTCCACGAGAATGTCCCCAGTCCACAGGCACTCAGCATTCCGAGCTTGTCTCTGAGGCTCGGGTCTGACTCTAACCGTGGAACCTGTCTCCTTTGCAGCCCATCGGGACTAATCCCTTCCCAGGAACACAATGTTCTGCACACAGGTGATCCCGGAACCAGAGAGCCAGTCTCTGCTTCCTTCTGAGTCCTAGATCTTTGACTTCCTGTCCCCTGACAATTCGTCATGGGCTTCAAACGGAGGGTTAGGGAACCAGCTTAGGAAGCTTTTATTAGACAAACACATGGTCGGTTGGTGACAATGGTGCAGAACAGACGCTCTCTAAGGTCACCTAGAAAATAAATGGGAGGAAGAGTCCCATCTGGGCTAGAGAGAGCAGGTGGGTTAGGCATTAGTCTTTCATGTGGTGGACCCCATTTCAGTTCCCAGCACCAGCTAGGGTCTCTCAACCCTGCTGGGAGTGGTCCCCGAGTACAGAAACAGGAGTTTCCCTTGAGCATCACCAAGGGTGCCCCCCCCAAAAAAAAGAGTAACATTTGTCTGGCTAGGTAACAATCAGTGACTCAGGGAGTGGGTAACTCTGTAACTACTACAGCAAATGTGAAGTTGTTTCCCCCGAGACAATTGTGGTTTCTACCCGCGCTGCATCTAGCCTTTTGAATGGTAGGGTTCCCCAGTCTTGCAAGGGGGGGATCACCCATTGGGCAGGGGGCTCCTGGTCAGTACCCAGCAGGTCCTTTAGGGCTGCGTCTCTGCACTGGCCGGCTGCCTAACTCTGGTTCTACCACTTTCCGGTGCCAGGGGAGCAGGAGGCTTGCAAGTTTCCGTTTCTTCTCCCCGTGAAATGCGCTAACGAGAGCTGCCAGGCGTAGGATTACGAGGCTTAGGAGGCGGGTCCGCGGAGAGCAAGCGGGCGCCGTGGTCATTTCTGGTCACTTCCTCCGCGCTGCGGGCGCGGGGACCCAGCGGGGCGGGTGGAGGCCCCCGACTCCGCAGCCGCGGGCGCCGCGCCCGCCCGGCGGGAAGTTCTGGCTCCTTCCCGGTAACTTTCTGCAGTGTCCACCGAGCCGGCCCGTCCCTGCCCGGCGCACCCCAACCGGGAGCTGCTGGCTCCGTGCAGCCCAGGCGCGCTCCCCCGGCACGCCCCGGGCTACACAAAGGGGTCCCCAGGGGCTTCCCGGGCCGGGCGCATCCGAACCGCCTCCCCGGGCCCCCGCGAGGGAAGGGGCCAGCGGGAAAGGCGAGGGCGGAGGCGGGAACGACCGCGTCCGGAGCCGCTCGGGACCGGAAGCCACGCTCGGGGCGCTGCAGCGCGGCCGGCGGCCCGGACCCGGAGGAGGCTCGGGGGCGGGATCCCCGGGGGCGCCGCAGCCCGCGCGCGCCGGCCCCGCCCCCGGAGGCCGCCTCCCCTTGACAACGCTCGGCCCCGCCCCCTGCGCGCTCGCAGGCCCCGCCCCCGCTCGTCCGCAACTCCCTACTGGGCGGCCCCGCGGAGACCCCGCCCCCGCTCCTCTAAGCCCCGCCCCCGCGCCCCTCGTCCCCGCGCCGGCCCCGCCCCCTGCCCCCGCGAGGCCACGGATAGGCCCTGGGCGCCGGGCAGGCCCCGCCCCTTCCGCCCCGCCTCCGGCCGCCGCTCGGCCCCGCCCCCTCCCCGTCCCGCTTTTTTCTCCCCCCCCGGCTCCGCCCCCGCGCCCCGCCCGCGGCCCGAGACCCCGGCGGCCCGGCCGCCCGCGCGCTCCCGCCGCCCCTCCCCGCGCGCCCCCGCCCGCGGCCCGGCCCCGCCCCGCCGCCCCGCCCCGCCCCCGCGCGGGGACCACCCTCCGCCCGCCGCCGGCCGAGGCGGGGGCCGCGCGCTGCTCCGGGCGCCGCCGCTCCGGGCCCCTGTGCGCGCCGCTGCCGCGGGAGCGCGGGGCGATGCCGGCCAGGTAAGGGGGCGCGCGGGGGGCGGGGGGCGGGGGCCGGCCAGCGAGGGGGCGCTGGGGGGCCGGGGGCGCGGGCCGCTGCCGGCCGGGTCAGGGGGCGCTCGGGGAGTCGGGGAGCGCGGGGCGCGGGGCCGGCCAGGTACGGGGGCGCGGGGCGCGCGGCCGGCCAGGTAAGGGGGCGCGGGGCGCGGCGCCCACCAGGTGAGGCGGAGTTGGGGGGCTCCGGGGCGCGGCGCCGGCCAGGTGAGGCGGAGTTGGGGGGCTCCGGGGCGACGCCGGCCGGGGAAGGCGAGTTGGGGGCTCCGGGGCGCGGTGCCGGCCAGGGACGGGGGCGCGGGGCGCGGTGCCGCCCGCGGGAGGCGGAGTCGGGGGGCTCCGGGGCGACGGCGGCCGGGGGAGGCGGAGTCGGGGGGCTCCGGGGCCGGGCGGGCGCCTCCTGCCCGGGCCCCGCGGGGTCTCGGCCGCCGGCTCCGGCTGCGGGCAGCGCGCCCGGCGCTCGCGGCGGCTTAAACTTGTTGGTGACGGTGCATATTTCAACTTCTTGGGAGATCCTGCCTTTGTTCCGTGTGCGTCGGTGGGCTCCGTTTCCCCGAGAGCCCGGCTGGTGGCGGCGCGGCGCGGGGGGCTCCCCGGAGACGGGGGTCCCGGGCCCGGCCCGCGGGGCGCGCCCGGGGCTGCGCGCGGGGCCTCCGGCGCGGGGCGCGGGGCGCGCGGCGCGCGGCGCGGCTCGGGCTCGGCGTTGGCGCAGCGGACAGGCGCCGGGTCGCGGACGAAGTTCGCCCAACTTTTGCCCTGGACGCCCCCCCTGCAGTGTGCGCCGCGGCTGGGAAGGTGGGAACAAAGGAACAGCCTCAGCCGGGCCCAAGCCAGCCCTGACCCCAGGGGCCCCCCGCCCGCCCCGGGTGTTTACATTTTGGGGGCCACAGCTGGCCGGGTTCACCTCTAAGGTATGGCCAGAGCCAGCCCAGCCGGCCGCCCCCGTCCCAGCACCCTCCTGCACCTCTGTGAGCGACATGCGTTGTTCCTGGCACCTAAGGGAGGGGGGGTCCCCGCTGTGACTCCCCTCCCCAGGGGGCGGCCTCGGGCCTGGGAGGGAGGCACCTGGCCGTCTTGGCCAGGCCTGGCCGCTGGCCCCTGCCTTGTGGTTTTTGGATCTTGGCCTCGTAAAAAGCGGAGGTAATGATTCCCAGTGCCCGGTCTGCATCCCCGGCCGCTGTAAAAATTAATGGGTGGTTTGCACCGCGTTTGGGCTCCCCGGGAAGGGATGGACAGCGGCTGTACTTTAGGGGTTCCCCTGATTTGTGCTCTCCACGTGGCTGCCCGCAGGCGCCTTCTGATCAGGAAACAGGCTCCAGGAATGCTCTGTCCTGGGGTTTTTTTTTCCCCCTTTCTTCTCTTCTCCCCTTTTTCTGGTATGGGGGAATCACACCCTGGGCCGAGTGCTCTGCGGCTGAGTCTCCACGTGCAGACTTGGGAAAGTGTGCAGTAACCTCCAAATCCTCCCTGATCCCTGGCTCTGTGCCTCTGACGCAGCCCAGGCCCTGTGAGTTTGGGGGTGCCCGCGCTGCCCCCCCCCCCCCCCCGTGTGGGGGGAGAGGGGAGGAAGTCAGTCCCAGTAACTGGCCTGCGGGTAGCCCGGCCCTGGTGTCAAGGTGGCCATCCTTGGTTCTGGGACAGAGACTGGGAGGAATGTCAGGGGTCTGAAGCCCACTCCCTCCGCCTCCCTCCTCCTGCCCACCCCCCCCCCAGCACTCAGGACTCCCGCCCCAGGGGATGTACCTCATCAGGAGACCCTTTTCCTCACAGTTCCCGCTCCCCTGTCCCTTGATAGCTTCCCCCCCCCCACCCTCACTTTGATCTGCCCCCGCCTGGCAGCTGATCACAGCCCGGCAGCTGATCACAGCCCGGGCTTGCGGGGGAGATGCGGAAGGACCCCCAAAGTCAGCCGGACAGCGGACGGAGTTAGGGAGCTGAGGCCGGACCGGGCGGGCTCTGCCCTTTCCTGGCGAGGGCCCGAGGGGGCGGCGGGGGCTTCCCTCCTGCTCTGGTTCTCCGGCCCCTGGCCTGCTGCAGTTTGCCAAGACTTTGTTCTCATTCAAATGCTGGTTTCTGGTCTGATGCCGAGATGGGGCCGAGCTGAATGCTGACCGGCCTGGGCACCTTTTAGGGAGGCCGCCCCTGCCCCTTCAGTCTGCGGCACAGGGGCCCCCCTTTTTGAGGAGGGGGCTTGAAGCCTTCAGGTCCTTTGAGGGGCTTGTGACCCCACAGGGCATCGGCGGGAGGAGTGAGTGGGGACCCACCCGGGCTCCCCACTGTGCCTCCAGGCCACTGCCTGCCACGTGCCTTCCTTTGGCTGCTCCCAACCCCTCCCTGAGTTGTGCCAAGTTGCTTTTTTTTTTCCTGAGGGTAAGAGTCTGGATCTGCTGAGGGAGGGGGAGGGGGTGGGATCTCCCCAGACCCCCGCCCTGGCCAGGATGCCTGTCCCCCAGGCATTGGCAGCCAGGAGCCTTCCCAGAGAGGCCCTGGCCAGCAGGGCCACCACGGGGTCAGCCTCTGGGACAGGGATCTCCCCTTCCCATCTTATCCCCAAGGGTCACCATGGTGGCCAAGGACCCACGGAGCCACCGGCCACATGCTCAGGATCTTGGCTGCTCCCGGCCGCCCCAGAGGGGTCTGTGCCAGAAAAGGGCTCTGTGCCCAGAAAGAGTGGGTGCGGGTGCAGGTGCAAGGGTGCTCTCCAGGGGAGGGACTGCCGGGGAGGGCTTTGTGCCCAGGAGGGGTCTCTCCCAGGGTCGGTGTCTGTGCAGGGAGGGAGAGAGGGGAGGAACTATGCCTGGGGAGGGGTCCATGCCCAGGAGGGGTCTCCCCAGGGGAGGGGTCCGTGCCCAGCTGTGGGAGCCCAGCAGGAAGGCGCCCCTCCCCCAGTGAAGGAGTTTGGGGGTGTCGGGAGGAGTTTCAGTCAGGGTGACGCTAGTTCAGGGGTCACAGGCAGGGATCCGTGCTGAGGGTCTGTGATCTCTCCCTGCACACGGACCCTCAAATCTCATGGGACCCCTCAGACTCCTTCCCTTCTGCCCCGTGTCCCTGGAAGCTGCAGTTCAGGTGACTCCTCCCTCGTGGCCTCCAGCTCTATGCAGAGTGTGAGGGGGCTCAAGTTTGGAGACAGCCCCCCACCCCCACCCCAGCCTGCGGGGCCTCTGGGAGCACTAGGGCTGGATGGATGCTAGGTTTCCACCTCTGCCTAGCACCACCTGCCTGCAGGGGAAAACTTCTTTTTTGGGGAGGAGCAGGAAGAGTTGAGACTGGGAGGTGGGGAGGCGTGGGGGGGGAGGGGGCTTGTGCTAGGTGCGAGGGGGCAGCGCCAGCCAGCTGGGTCCCGTCCCCGCACCGCACAGGGCCCCTGAGCCCGGCCGGGAGCCGCCCTGAGCGCAGAGCCCAGGAAGGCGTGAGTCCCGGGCACCGCCGGGTGTGGCCCCCAGAGGGGGCCGGGGAGCAGGTGAAGAAAAAGTTGTAGCTGATGAGTTGAGTGGAGGCCGGAGCAGCCGGCACTAATGAGCTCATCCTTATCTGCTCGGAGCTTATCTCCCGGGGCTGCAGCCGGCCCGGCCGCCCCGGCAGGAAACGTCCCATAAAGGGACTCGGCTTCCAGGTCCCTCCTGACGCCCCGCCCCCGCCTTGGAATGTGGACGCCTCCCGCCGGGTTAGCGGGCGGAGGCCGGGCTCTGGCTCCCGGGTTCCCGCTCCGGGCTCCTGGGTGGCCGCCCGCCCACTCGAAGCAAAACCAGAAGTCCCGACGGCCTGGCTGGCACGCCACGGCCCCTCCACCCCGGGCCCCGGCGGCGGCACCAGGGACTTGCGCGCCCAGGGGCTGTGCCAGGTCTCACCGCCGGTTCACCGGTTCACCTTACCCTCCCTCCTTCCCTCGGGTTTCCTCTCAGTCCTGCTTGGGGGCAGGGTGGGTGCCAGCCGGGCCTGACCCTGTGGCCCCGCGCCCCCAGCCGGCCACAAGCACCTCCGCCCTCTCCCGGCTCCTTTCGGAATCCTGGAATCCTCTTTACATCTTTACAATCGCCCCAGAGCTTTGAATAAAAGACGGACAATTAAAACCCGGTGCCTTACCGCGCTGGACCAGATTCTCAGGGGCGGTTTGAAAAGAGACTCTCCATTGCCTGCGAGGGCTGGGGGAGGGCGTTGCTGGGGGAAAGTGTGTGTGTGTGTGTGTGTGTGTGTGTGTGTGTGTGTGTGTGTGTCTCGGTACTGGGGAATTGTCTGGGACTGGACCCTGTGTGTGTTTGTGTGGGTGTGGGTGCTGGGGAGGTGTCTGGGGCCGGACCCTGTGTGTGTGTGTGTGTGTGTGTGTGTGTGTGTGTGTGTGTGTGTGTGTGTGTTTAGGTACTAGGGAGGTGTCTGGGGCTGGACCCTGCGTGTGTGTGTGTGTGTGTGTGTGTGTGTGTGTGTATGTGTAGATCTGGGGCTGGACCCTGTGCTCCAGGCCTGTGGGGGCAGGAGAGGACAGGGCCAGGGGGGATTCAGCCCTCTGCCACCCCAAGGACTGTGTCCATCATTCCCCAAGTTCTTCCGGCCTAGGTGGCCGGCGGGGTCAGGATGCAGGAGGAGGTGGCCGCTGGCTGGTGGCTGATCCAGACTGTCAGAGCAGAGGGCCGGGGGTGGGAGAGGCGTGTGCTGGTGGGGGGGGCTCCCCGGGACCGCCCAGGAGGAGAACAGTGAAGGTCCCAGGGTCTCGGGCCGGTCCTGCCCCCTGTTTGTCACGGGCTTTGACGGTGGTTATGAAACAGTGGGGGGGCTGCCACCCGGGTGTGGGTCTGGGGGTGCCGGTCTCCAGCAGCACCCAGGGCCGCTGGGCATGAGAGTCTGGGAGAGCGGGGGAAGGGGGGCCGACGTCGATAACCCAGGGTCGAGCTGGGGTCCTGTGAGCGTGGCGGCGGGGACGTTTCTAGAAGCAGAGCACAGGGGATACTCTGCAGAGTGGTCCGAGGGCCGGA